AATTAAGGAAGATGCAAACAAATGGAAACATGTACTATGTTCATGGGCTGGAAAAATTAACATCATTAAAATGTCCACACTACCCAAAGCAATTGATATATTCAATGCAATCCTTATTAAAATGCCAATGACATATTTCACAGATATACAAAAAGATTTCAAAAATTTATATGGAACCATAAATAACTCCAAATAGGCACATCAATTTTGAGAAAGAAGAACAAAGTAGGAGGGATCACAATACCAGGTATCGAACTATATTACAAGGCCATGGTAACCAAAACAGTCTGCTACTGATGTAAGAACTGACACATAGACCAATGGAACAGAATAGAGAGCCCACACGTCTCCATGGTAAATTAATATTCAACAAATGTGGAAGGAGCATAAAATGGAGTAGAAATAACCTCTTCAACAAATGGTGTTGGGAGATCTGGACAGCTACATGCAAAAAAAATTAACTTGACCACCAATTTACACCACACAGCAAAATAAACTCAAGATGGATAAAACACTTAAATATAAGTCATGGAATCATGAGAGTACTAGAGGAGAACATAGGTAGGAAAATTTCAGATATCCCACACAGCAATATTTTCACCAATATGTCATCTAGAGCAAGGGACATAGAGTAAAAATAAACAAATGGGACTACATCAAGTTAAAAAGCTTCAGGACAGCTAAAGAAAATATTAGGGGAAATGAAAAGATAACCAACTGTATGGGAAAATGTAACTGCAAATGATACCTCGGATAAGGGTTTGATCTCCAAAATATATAAAAAAGTCATACAACTCCACACCAGGAAGACAAACAATCCAATTAAAAAATGGTCAAAGGACCCAAACAGACACTTCTCCAAGGAGGACATACAGAGGGCCCAGAGGCATATGAAAGGATGTTCAGCATCACTGGCCATCAGAGAGATGCAAATTAAAACTACAATGAGATACCACTTCACACTGGTCAGAATGGCCATCATAAAAAAAAAATCAACAAACAAGTGCTGGTAAGAATGTGGAGAAAGGGAACCCTAGTACACTATTGGTGGGAATGCAGACTGGTGCAGCCTCTGTGGAAAACAGTAAGGAATTTTCTCAAAAAACTAAAAATGGAACTGCCTTTTGACCTGGCAATTCCATTGGTTGGATTATACCCTAAAAATTGTGAAATACCAATTCAAAAAAACCTATGTACCCCAATATTCATAGCAGCGTTATTCACAATAGCCAAGTGTTGGAAACAGACTAAGTGCCCATCAGTAAATGAGAGAATCAAAAAACTGTGGTACATTTACACAATGGAATACTACAGAGCATAAAGGAAGAAGGAACTTCTACCCTTCATGGCAGCATGGATGGATCTAGAGAATATTATGCTAAGTGAAATAAGCCAGGATGTGAAAATCGAATACCATATGATCTCACCTATCAGTGGAACCTAATCAACAAAACAAACAAGCAAGCAAAATATAATCAGAGACATGGAAATAGAGATGAAACTGACAGTAACCAGAGAGGAGGGAAGAGAGGGATAATTGGGGATAATAGGGGAAGGGCTATCAAGGAATATGTATAAAGGACATATGGACAAAACCAAAGGGGGTTGGTTCAAGAGTGGGAAGCAGGGATGGGTGGGGTGGGGGGCATGGTGAGGTGAAAATGAAGACAACTGTACTTGAACAACAATTAAAAAAAACACCTGACAGTGACCAGAGGGGAGAGGGAGGGCAATAACAGGGGAAAGAAGGGGAGAGTTAAGTCAAGGAACATGAATATCAAGGTCCCATAAACAAGGACACCTTTTGGAGGGATTGAATGTGGGGAATTGGCAAGGCAAGGGAGATCAATGGGGTAAAAATGGGGAGAACTGTAATTGAGCAGCAATAAAAAAAATTTTTAAAGTTGCCTACCCTTGGCCCCTAGTGTTATTAGGGCAGGTGCAGGCAAATAGATTTGCAGATTATATTATGGGAAGCAGAGCAGGAATAAGCCTGGTGTGTTCTAGAAACACAGGAAGGCCATAAATAGACCCAGATACTATCATTCCCCCCATTATTTCTTTTTTTAATATTTTATTTATTTATTTTTAGAGAGGGAAGGGAGGGAGAAAGAGAAAGAGAGAGAGAGAAATATTAATGTGCGGTTGCTGGGGGCCGTGGCCTGCAACCCAGGCATGTGCCCTGACTGGGAATCGAACCCGCAACACTTTGGTTCACAGCCTGCGCTCAGTCCACTGAGCTACGCCAGCCAGGGCTTCCCCCATTATTTCATAGCACATTTGTACCTATTGATTTTTATTTGGACATTAACTCACTCCTTCAATGAATATTCTTTAAGTTCCCACTGTGTGTCAGACACCATTAGCTGCTTCTCACACACAAACACACACAAATCATAAGGGAAACCAACAAGTAAACAATTATAACACAAAATAGTAAGTGCTAACTGAAAATGAAGGGGAGAGGATGCAATTGATGTAAAGAGGACGTAATAAACTTTTGTTTCACCACCTATTCAATAAGTATCTGATATTCCATGTAACCTTCTCAAATTGAACCGTATCTTCCCTGTTTGGTCATACCTCCCCTCCTTTAGTCACTAAAATGCATCATTTTAACAGTAAAAACCGTCATCACAGCAGCTAATACCCACTGAGCCTTTACTGTGTGCAAGATAGAGCCAGGTACTTTACACATCTTGTCTCATGTAATCATCACAGTCCTGTGATATAAATATTATTATGCCCATTTGTGAAATAGGAAATTAAAGGTCAGAGAAGTGAAGTCCTTTGCTGAAGTCCTCATATGTGCTCCACAAAGATAACACTCAGGTCATCTACTATTTTCTTCTTCATCTGCTCTGATTTGCTGCTGATGCCTAATGTTAAGGTCATTGTTGCTTGATGGTATCACATACCAAAGGCGCCAATACCAAACAATGTGTATACCAAAGTCTTATGTCTACAGCATTAATGTTCAAATTAGGGGTATTATTTATCATAGATGCTAAATATCTGGAAACAATGAACATATTTTGTGAAAGAGTTCTTTGTAGTTTTTACCTGTGCTTTTATTACAGTTCCTACCCTCGGGTCTGGTGCCAGATTACCTAGGTTTGAATCTTAGCCCTGAAATTTAAGTGCTAAGTGATCCAGGCGAAATTGTTTAACTTCTTCATTCCCCAGTTTCCCTATCCATAAAGCAGGAATAATAATATTATCTACCTTAAGTGTTTGTTATAAAACACTTAGCCCAGTGTTATTACTAAGAAAACTGGCTGCTTTTACCAACTGTTAAACAGGCTTTATCTATTAACCTCTTGCCTATTTCTGGGTACTTTCTATCTGTTAATTTCACCTTACTGTTATTGATCTTTTTCACTCTAATTGCTACTGTCATGCTCCTTCCTATTACACAAACTTTGATTATGCTGTTCACTCTGTCTGGAGTTTTCCTTTTCCTATTTGCCTGGCCAATTCCTATTTGTTTTAAACTCCATAAAGGTTAGGAGTCTATCTGTTTGTTTTTGTTTGTTTGTTTGTTTGTTTGTTTTACCATCCTCACCCAGAGCTTAATATGGCACTTGGTGTACAGAAGGCACTCATTAATGTTTGTTGCATGAATACCAACCTGAACCTAGTATCTTGCCATATGCAGCTATTCTTCTGTGCATTAATTCACATCCTAGCTACAGCTTTTTTCTATCACTGGCTCTAAACAATTTTCACCAAATATTCAATAAATAAACAACATATGTTAGGTTCTGTGATAGGGTCTTTGAAAATAAATTTTAAAAATACAAATTTTCTGCTTTCAAGAAGCTACTTGTTCATTAGAGGACACAAGCATTCAAAGAGAGAAGTTATAATACAGAATGATGTGGTATACTTGAGGCCTATACTAGATTCATTGTGCGTAACAGACTCATGGAAAATGAGAATATAAATTTATTTGGAAAGTATAGGAAAGGATTCACAGATTAAGCAACAGGTAAATTGAGTCAAAAATAAAGACTAAGATCCCTGGCTGGTGTGGCTCAGTGGATTGAGTGCCAGTCTGCAAACCAAAGAGTCACCAGTTCAATTCCCAGTCAGGGTACATGCCTGGGTTGTGGACCAGGACCCTGTTGGAGGCATGTGAGAGGCAACCACACATTCACACTCTCCTCTCTCTTTCTCTCTCTTTTCCCCTCTCTCTAAAAATAAAATAAATAAAGTGTTTTAAAAAATAAAGACCAACAGTTTTCCAAATAGACAAATAAGGGTAAAGTGTGAAAGCGTTTTCTTCTTTTGTTGATCCTAACTTTTACAAATTGTTTCCTTAGTTACCCTTTCAACATTAGAGTACTATTTTTTCACCTCTAATAACTACAATGCTGCTCAGTTTTTCATATATACACACATATATGTATGTATATACACATATATAAGTATGAGAGAGAAAGAGAATTTGTTCTTGCTCTGAATTTTTTCCTCTACCCTGGATTTTCATTGCACAAGCTAATTCAGTGCACTTTTTGGTTCTTCTTTGGATTGTTCGTTAATTTTTACAAGCATAAGATGTGCATTCTTAGTAGTTACTTCCCTTCTAGTGCTCACTGTATTTAACACTGTACCTGTACCCTGAATTCAGCAGTGGGAGTCCCGTACTGAGTGGTATGTTAAATTCAAGAAAGTGGTGGAAGGATAGTGATTTTTAATTCCAGCAAAACTTAAGACACCATAAATAGGAGCGTAGTGGGGAGACTCAGGAGGAGCATTGAAAAGGCAAGCAAGGAGACCACTGTTTTCCATGCAGTGTAGTTTTACAGGTCTGCCTATGCTCTCTGCGCCTGTGGCTCCAAAATCTTTTAAATAGAATAGTGTGCCCCATTCCCATCCTTCTGGATCAGAGGCACGCCTCCACAGGGGCGAGGTCCCAGACACGTGAGGAGCCCACCCAGCAGGGCCGGAAGGAGCGGGGCGGGGCCTCCAGGCTTGCTGCAAGGCCTGAACAGACTGGGGGAAGTGATCGTGGGGCCGACAGTTTCTAGGCCAAAGCAAAGGGCGGGTGCAAGGCTGCCTCCTGAGGCTCTCCTTACTTGCAATTCCTTCCGTTTTACTGAATTGGGAGTCTCGACCTCCTCCAGCACAGGTGGGTCCTGCTCCGTGGATCAGGGAAGGGGAGTCCTGGGTGGGTGTGATGGGTGGAGTTTGCCCAGGCGCTTGCAGGAAGGCCCGGCGCAGGGTGGGGCAGCGGCTCCTACCCTGGGTGCTTGGGCCTTCAGCGGTGGTACTCACCTTAACCCTGGCAGAGGAAAAGGCCACTCGTGCCTTGATGCAGGGCTGTCGTCATGGTTTGTGCCAGTTGCGCGACAAAGAGTCCGCCCTGAAATCAGCGTGGGCCAGAATGGCCTACCGCTGGAAAAAAGCTGGAAGATCTGGAGCAAGCTCTCCTTGGGACTTTCGCCCACTATACATTGTTTCAAACCCGATTGGACTTCCCAGTCCTAGATCTGTCACTGACTTGGTGTCTAGCTTTCAGCCAGTCCCTACCTTCTCCTTGCTTCATTTTGCTTGGCATTGGAGTGGAAGGTGGAACTCGGCTGCCTCAAGACCTTGCAGCACTGATTTTTCTTTTGTTCTAATATCCACTAATGTTCTCTGCCCAGATTTTACCCTTTGTCTGCCCCTCCTGGGCAAGGATGCCTGGCAAGAGTCAGGAGTGGCAGAACAGGGCATTGCAGAAGCTAAGCAAGAAAGTTTTCTGTCTAAAACAAATCTGAAAAGCCTTTTTCATATTACTGACTGCCCTGAAAACTGGAAACAACATCCATTCAATGCTTAGTTGAGTGTCAACTCTGAAGAATGCTCTTTGTGAATGCTTTCCTATTAAAGATTTTAACCAGATGATTGTTTGACCAAGATGTTCTATGTCAAATGAACATAATAACACTGCTTAGCAGGTCTCATCATAAAAGATGGGTGACTTAAGTGTGTACACCCAAATGTTGAAAGAAATACTTCAGCTCTCACAGGTAGGAATACGTCCATAATTCATTCCCATGCAGCAGTTTTTAGACTTACTTCTTAATGGCTATTGCCCTTTCAGGAAACACTGTAGTAAAAGTCATACAACTTATTTTACATGAACTTAACTATAATGGCAAAGAAAAAGTATTAACACCATGACCCAACATTGTGCTGCCATTTTGATTCCTCTGTATTAAGGAACTGGTGATAATGATAATAGTAACCTATATTATGCAAAACACTGTAATCTTCAAAATGAGAGGTGAATGTGTTTTATTTATCACCATACATGAACAGTTTATCATTTATTTCATAACCAGTGTGATGAAGAGAATGTTTGCTGGGTTGGTTGAGCCTGGGGGCATCTTTTGGGTGCCCTACCTCATTCTTTATTTCTGGGAAGTGTGGACTGGGATGGATCATATCATTTTTTTGGCATCTGTGTTAGGAATCACAAGCATTTGTCTATCTCTGTTTGTCAAACCTAAGAACAGCAGTAAAATATCCAAACTTCACTTGGTGACTTCAGTCTTTATGGAAGTTGTGTTTTCTCACTTCCAGGAAGGGGCAGGGTGGGGGGACTGATTTAATAAACTTCTTTGGTAGGAAGAGTCTCTCTGGTTGGAGCCAAAATGATCCACCAGTTGGGAACTTTTGTGACCCTCTTTCTGCAACACCAAACATCCCCCATGCTTGTACAGATTGTACATGCACCTGCCATTGACTTCATGTAAAGAATTTACAGACTAAGAGGCTTCTGGCAAAACCTCATCTGTGCCACACCTGCAGGTTCTAGACAAGGAATGGCTGACATAAAAGTGGGTGTCCTTCAGGACATAGGATCTGACGATTTCCCAAATGGCTGATAAATGAGAGGGAAATTGTGATAGATGTCTGCTGGGCTAGTCTTGAAGGTGAGTTTAGGACTGGCTGTTTGGCAGGACCTGGGGAGCGCTTTGGTCATATTTTACTCTGTTCATTCACTCTTTTACTCCAAAGACAACCAATGAACGCTTACTCCATGCCAGGATGCTGATCCACTCACTGAGATTGGCAGCACAGGGGACAGTACCTTTGGGAGGACAACAGGAATTCCACTTGAAGCATGCTAAGTCTGAGGCATCCTCACTCTTGCCCATTCCCTGTATCTAATCAGTACAAAATGTTGTCACGTCTGCATCTTGCATATTTTTTAATTTTAATTGTTGTTCAAGTACAGTTTTCTGTCTTTTACTTCTATCCCAACCCATCCCCCCAGCCCTCCCCATGCATCCTGCATATTTTTAAAACTCATCAACTTCTGTTTGTCCTCCCCTGCTATTCCAAATTTCAAGACAAAACCATTCTTCTTTAGTAATTTTTAAATTTTCATTTTAAAAGACCCAAAACATTGCTTGACCCTCAGCCCTCATGGGAAAACCACCACTCCTACCACACCACAGCAGCAGCAGCAGCAGCAGCAGCAGCAACATACAACAGCCTAATGAGCTTTGCATGATCCCTAATATGCTGTCTAAGAGATGAGCTTTTCTTCTCTGCTTTCCAAGTTGCTTTAACAATTTTATTTTGAGACATAATTTACATACCATAAAACTGACTTATTTTAAGTGTACACATCAAGGGCTTTTAGTAAATCTGTTGAGTCGTGCAACCTAATCACCACAATTTTAGATATTTCTGTCACCTCAATTAACATCTCTCTCTTAACCATGTGCAGTTAATCCCCATTACCAACCCCAGCCCTTGGCAACCAATAATCTGCTTTCTGTTCCTATTGATTTGCCTAGCCTGGACATTTCATATAAATTGAATCATACAGTATGTGGTCTTCTGTGACTTTCTTCTTTTACTCATGAGGTTTTCAAGGTTCATACTGCAGTATGTATCAGCACCTAATTATTTCAATGACTGAATAATGTTCCACTATATGTACATATCACATTTTGTTTTTCCATTCATCAGTTGATGGCTATTGGGGTTTTTTTTTCCAGTCTTTTGGTTACTGTGAATAAGTGCTGTTATGAGCATTTGTGTTGAAGTACTTCTTTTTTAACACCCATTTTCAGTTCTTCTGAATATATAGCCAGGAGTTGAATTGCTGGGTCATATTGTAACTATATGTTTAATCTTTTCCCAAATTGTTTTCCAAAAGGCCTGCACCATTTAACATTTATATATTTACATGAGCCACCAGCAATATATGAAAGTGCTCATCTCTCCACATCCTCACCAATAATTTTCTTTTTTAAAAAAAATTATAACTACCCATGTAGGTGTAAAGTAATATCTCATTGTGCTTTAGATTTGATTTCTCTAATCATTAATGATATTGAACATCTCATCTGCTTTTTGGTCATTTTTATGTTTTTTTGAAGAAATGACAAATATTTTATACATTTTCAATTAGGTTGTTACCCTTTTTTATTGAAATGTAAGAGTTCTTTAATATACTTTGGATACAGTTCTTTATCAGGTATATGATTTAAAAATATTTCTCCCAGCCTGCGGCTTGTCTTTTAATTTGTGAGGTTTTTATTTAAGTAACATTGATTTATAATACTATCTAAGTTTTACCCTGGCTGATGCCAGCTTACAAATCAAAGGGTCACTGGTTCAATTCCCAGTCAGGGCACATGCCTGGGTTGCAGGCCAGGTCCCCAGTAAGGGTTACACAAGAGGCAACCACATTAATGTTTCTCTCCCTATCTCTCTCCCTCCCTTTCCCTCTGTTAATAAATGAATAAAATCTTTAAAAATAATAATATTATCTAAGTTTCAGATGTACAACATTGTGATTTGATATCTGTATGCACTATTGCACGGTCAACACCAAAGTCTAGTTTCCATCCATCACCATACATTTGAACCCTTTTACCCATTTCACTCTGCCCCCATGTCTCTTTCCCACTAGCGACTACCAATCTGTTGTCTGTAACTATGATTTTGTTTTGTTTGTTTCTTTCTCTTTAATAGTCCACATGTGAATGAAATTATATGATTTTTCTCTATTTCTGTCTGACTTATTTCACTTAGCATAATACCATCAGGGTCCATTCATGTTGTTGCAAATGGCAATATTTCGTCTTTTATGGCTGAGTAGTATTCTATTGTATAAATATATACCACGTATTCATTATCCATTCATCAGTAAATGGACACATAAGTTGTTTCCATATCTTGGCTATTGTAAATAATGCTGCAGTGAACATAGGGGTGAATATATATTTTCCAATTCCAGTCATGTACTACGCAACAACATTTTGGTCAACAATGAACTACTGCATATTCAAAGGTGGTCCCATGATTTTATAATTGAGCTGAAAATTCCTAGTGATATTGTAGCCATTGTAATGTTGTAATGCAATGCATTACTCACATGTTTATGGTGATGCTGGTGTGAAGAAACCTACTATACTGCTAGTCATATAAAATTATAGCATCTGGAATTATGTATAGGACATAATATTGATAATAAAAAACTGTGTAACTGGTTTATGTATTTACAGTATTATACCTTTTATCATTATTTTAGAATATACTTTTTCTACTTATAAAGAAAGTTTGCTGTAAGTTGGTATACCATGTTAATCTGGCAGCAGCCTCATATATCTTGTGTTTACTGCACCTCTGGATTGCATCATTTTGTTTTGTGCTTGATTTAATCTTGTCTTATTTTGTACAATAATATACTGTACAGGGTTGTAGCTTAGGAGCAATCGACTATAACATTTAACTTAGGTGTATAGTAAGCTATACATCTAGATTTTTATAAATACATTCTAAGATGATCACACAACAATGAAATTTCCTAATGACACATTTTTATTTTTTAATTTTAAAATTACAATTGAGATGCAAGATTATATTAGTTCACATGTACAGCATAGTGGTTAGGCACATATAATGTACAAGGTAATCCCAATAAGACAAGCACCTATCTAACATCATACATAGTTTTACAATGTCATTGACTATAATTCCCATACCCATGACTGTTTTTATAACCAACAATTTTTACTTCTGCTTTTATTTTATTTTTTAAATTATTGTTTACATTCAGTATTTTGTATCAGTTTCAGGTGGACAGCATGGTGATTAGATAATCATATACTTTATAAAGTA